TCCGCTTTAATTACTGAAGGCATCTTAAGCCACTACAACTTTCACAGCAAGGTTTGTTTCAAGCTCGGTAAGGCACACCCAGTGGGGCTACGCTATGCGCATGCGCCTCACGGCTGTCGCGCTCGTATAATGAAATCCGTACTCTTGAAAATCCGGAACGTGTCGTCGACTTTTTAAAACAGTCGTTCATGGCAGAGTGTAAAAAGTATTAAGAAATCCTCCTAGACAGCTTTACAAGCAGATGTTGAAAAATAAAAGTTTTTGGCGTCAATCAATCGCATGTATGTTGATCAATTCGACCTCACCAGGTTCAGTTAAGTGAAGTCAATAAGTAAGCAGACGGGAACTTTTGCAGTCTATTTTTGATACTTTTCAGAAGATATCGTATTTATAAAGAGCCAGAAGATGCCGTACTCATAAAGAGTAGGTGAACTGCCCACCTATGTTCAAAGACTACAGGTACCAAATTTCGAAACCACTTTTGAAAATAACTCCTATGCGAAGTGAGTGAACCGCTAAGAGCTGTACTCTTTCTTAACTTGATCTTCACTCAACACTATTCTCTACTATATTTTTGACGGATAGACATATCTGAATCTGTGCTGCAACTACTCACTTGTGGAAAGCTGTGTGGAAGTACGAAATAACTCCAGCTCCAGGTACCACAAACTTTTCCCATGCACCCAGTTGAGCTCCGAGTCCGCTCACCATCTCAGTAATAAGCTGAATTTGTATTACAATAAATAGTATGAATTGCCATCTGAGTGATCGAAAAGATGTTCAACTTAGAGTTGTCCGAGAAAAAGTGTACGGCCCAATCGGGCTCTTCATATCTCGATGGGTTCTTCAGTAATACTATCATAATTTATTCAGGGTCACCGTCTGGCGTTAATCGGGCCACAGGAGAATGGCTGAAGAGCACCACATCGAGACTCACGGAACGTAATGGGATAAGCAGGTTGCGCTCCCACAACAAAATATATTCGAGATGTGTTTGGAAGTTTTCGAACGTCTTCTGTATGAGTATGTTCAGGGAAGATCACTAAGACCGTTGATAGGGATATCTTCGCATCACCCGCAACATAAAAAATTGCGATATTGTCGGTGTTATTCAAGTCATATTTCATCACTGAACGGAAGCGAGAAAGTTGCTTATTTTTTTGTGACGAAACTTCAAGAGCATCGTTAACCGAGATCACTAGGGGAAGTTCAGAACATATCCTAGTCTCAAAAAGTACAGTCTGCTTGTTAGGGTAAAGTATTAGTACACCAGTACTACCACTGCTGGAAAGGCAGAGAATTCATGAGTCTCGAGAGACAAACGAGCGATACAGCGTTCCCCTCGAGTCTCTGAAATCAGCACAGCAGCACTGTTTTCGAGCGTTTTTCTGGCTTATCCTGCTGGATTCCGTGGAAGGTGAGACAGTGACTCTCTTGTTCTTGTCATATTATATCCAGCACTCATATCCCATTACCAGATTCGGCATTAATTTTTTGCGGTCGAGTTGAGAAGAAGCCACTTGCTGATTGAGGCTTACGTGCGATAGAGATGGTCTCTTAGATGGCAGTGGATTTATCTGTTTCACTTGCTTGTGAACGTTTCGAACGGCTGTCTCTGATCGCATTCAAAAAGCTCCGCCAATCCCGCCCATGACCTCCGACTTCTCATTTACTTGCTGGTAGATCGGTAATCATCGTTAGCAGCTGGTCGGTCAGGCGAGGATCGTCTCGAGGGTCGAATTCACAGATTAAAGACCAGTGAATTGATCGCTAACAGTCATGTGGCTGGCAAATTCCCCAAGGAATGCAGCGCTCGCCGCTTCGAAGGTGACGACCTCCATCTTGATCACTCATCAGCTGCAACATGACTCATAGGAATGCCTTCACAGGCAAATTTTATTGATATTACTGGTTACTTCAAAATTGTTATCTAGTATGTGGTGATGGTGTTGGGTTCTAGTATTGAAACGACGAGACTTACTTGCTTATACGGCTCGTCTTCACTCATGCGCGAGCACCAGCAACAAACCATTCGCTTCTGTCTTTCGCGATGGCCATCCACGGTAGACTCAGGATTCGACGAAGATGGCGATGTGAGGAGTTATTCAGCTGCCTTCTGATCGGCAAGCACATACCCCAACTCGCAGCAGGCTTACCCTTAGATCGTAAAGATCTTACTTGAGCCTACTCGACTGTTCTTCTGCCCATCTGTCGTCATCTCTTCTCGTTACATGACCGGCCAACCAAAACTTTGCATTTTTCATGTGTTCCACCGGATTGCGGAATCGGGACCTTTTGCGTAGAGCTGCGGACAAAAGACATCGCTTGAGCGCACTGTGACTTGTGCTCAAAGCCCTTCACGTGGATGCAGGTCACCAAGTCTGCGACCCGAACAGAGCGCAGGAAGAACTGTGGAATCCAACAGATTAGCGCAAAGTTCAGGGTCAGCCATATGGTTGGTGACCTCTCTCAGAGGTCCGCAGGCTGCCCACGCTGCCTTCTACTGTCTCACTGAACGCCGAGGTAAACGTAGGACGAGATCTCCTGACGAGATCTAGCTGAATCCCTTCCGGAATCCACCCTGTTCTAAAGGTTGAGCTTCATCCGACGTTCGCGATATGTGAGTAAAATGTTCTTCTTGAACAGCATGTAAAGCGCACTTAAAAGCTTATTGGGCAGTGTTCGCGATAATCATCCCAGTCTGCCTTTTTGTGAAGTATGAGCACCCGCGGATTCATCCACTGGTTGAGATCTTTTCCTTCTAGAGCAAGGATAACATGTGATGTCATGTGTGTTGAGAGAAGCGCACGGAACTCGTAGCCACCTGCAGGAGCAGGTCGACTGAGATCCTGTTGGGCCTGGAGTAGCGCCCCATTTCATGCTCGCAATCGCAACTCTCACCTCCGAAGGCAGTACCGAGGTGCTGTTCCGCTTAGTGAGGATTTTTGGTTTTCGCACGTGTGTATCGGTACAGGTTGGTGTAAAATCTCCGTGTAAGTTCCTTCATCTCAAGTCTCGGTATTGTAAGTATTCCGTGCTCCTTCTTCAAAACGAAAGTGAAATACTGCGGTCTTGAAGATCCCGATGGCATTTTCTCAGACTAGTTCTGTTCAAGGCTGTTCTTAGTAGTCTCCCCTCCTCGTATAGCTGAAGGTCTCGCCGCAAAGCCTGTCTGTAACTGAAAATCGCTTGCAGCCTTCCAAGATGTGTGGCGTTCTGGTCAATCCTCAAGTTTCTCTTGTCCTGAGAAGATCCCTCGACTCATCTGAAATGCGAGCGGAGGCATCCACTAGAGGAAGCGTGGTCTCTCTAGCACAGGTGAGAAGACCCAGAACCAGCGCGTCATGGTCTTCGGTCGGCTCATCCAAGACCTGCCAGCCATATTGGGACAAGGCGTCATTCAGAACATCTCCGTCGTATACAACATGCTTCGAGCTCTTTGCGCGATGTGGAAAGATCTTTCCCAGCTTGCAAGTGAATCTGATCTTAGCACGAACGAGTCGATGATCAGAACCACTGCAGAAAGATGGTACCACACCAACATCTAGCAAGCACCACTTTCTGCTTGTTAATAGGTGGCCCAATTCAGCATAAGTTGTACCGTTTGAAGACACCCACGTCCAGCGGCAATGTTCCTTCTTCTGAAAGAAAGAGTTCCTGCGGGAGAGTCGAGCCGCGGACAGAAGTCTAGCTAGACGTTTTCCGTTCTCATTCCTGTCCTCCATTCCGAACTTTCCAATCCTGAACTCCTCCTCTTATGCTTCGCCAAGCCTGGCGTTGAAATATCCAACAACGAACTTGCACAAGGACTTTTGCTGTAGGTGATCTCCTCAAGTTGGCCGCAGTTAACGTACGGAAGACTCGCGTTGCTAAGGTATGAGTTGGCATTTTAACGGGGCGCTCGTATGAGTTAGCAGAAGCTCTAGAGCGTGGGCGAATTGATTGATTTCTGTGCAGGAATCGAGGTGGTCCTGCTCCAAGTCGAGGGACATTGGCAACGGCTTCCAAGCCGTTCTCTGGTGTAGTCCCAAAACCACCAACGGTGTTGGCATAATTGTCTCTGAAAGGTTCCGTTATTCGGCAGAGGGTGTGGAGCGCTTCGATGACCACTCAATGAAGATCATTGTAGTCATCGAACGCATAGAATACCATTTCTTCTCGGCGTATGCTCCACAAACTGGATGCTCCGAACAAACCAAAGACAATCTGGGTTCTACTTGACGAAAAGACAGCCAAAGTACCGTTATAAGAAGCAGTAGTTGTCGCGAGTGACCTCAGTTGTAATGTAGGCGCTACTAAAGACGGGTTATAGCTGTCATGGTGGTTTTGGATATGGGTTATGTGATACTGATGGGGAGCGAATTCTTGAATACGCAGACTCGCATAATCTCGCTATTGTTAACACAAGCTCCGTAAACGCGACTCTCATCCCATCACCTTCTATAGCGGTGAAAACATAACACAAATTGATTTCGTCCTTGTCAGGCACCACGACCAGGGATTCCTAACAGACGCAGAGACAGTACCGTATGAAACGGTCGCTACACAGCATCGACCACTGATTTGTACGCTTCGCTCCGCCGACAACAACCTTGGCAGTCTTGAGTTGCCAATCGCGTCTGACGGTAGCGTGGTTTTTGAAACGAATTCTAGTGCGAATGCAGCGTGCTTGCAGTGGCGCTCGATGGCTGGCGTACTCTGCGATTAGAACATGCCTGAGCGTTTCAAATCAGAAATATACAGAATATACTTATGCGGTCTGGTCGTGTTACTCGTGTTACTCCGACTATCCAGCGCAGCATCTTGGTCTCCATCACGCTGAGACCACCTTCTTTTTCTTTGGCCTGTGGCCGCCCATTGCCGATAGAATGCGCGAAGCCCGCCTCCGTTGGTGCGGTCACGTTTTTAGGGGAATGAAGGCAGTGTTCGTAAGCGTTTAAGACCTCACTACGAAAAAACCACACTTGCCTCTGAGGGTGTACCTCAACACAATCTCCAAATGCAAAGGCTTCTTCACCCCTTAGCGTTCAGCTGAGGTTAGATTACTGCGGTGAGGCTCATTCATCGTGTTCCGGGAAATTCATCGAATTCCGTGCTCGAGGTTTGCTATTTTCGAAACGATCTCAGGTGGAGGTTGTGGTATTCTTATAAACTTCAATTTAAACGGCACCAAAGGAATTAAAGTCGCTTGTTAGTCGTGTGCTTTTGATCCAATAAGCGACTACGTAGTTATTGCAGTTGTTGTTTTATGTAGTACCTGGTAAGCGACTGATTGTTTGCGACTATGTATTGTAAAGTTAACTACTGAAGAGGGCACTAATTGAAAGCCAACCAATTAGGTGGAGTACCAAGAGCTTCAGAAATGCACATGAAAACAAGGAGAACAAGTTCAAATGGAGCTCATAAAGAAGCAGCATTTCGGAACACCCAGGCGCTCAGGTGTTGCTGATAAGACCCAACCATTTGGCCACAGACAAGACATGTTTCCTGCAATGATTTCGTGCTAAATCTACAATTTAACCTGTTTTCGAGATGCTGTATCCCTGAATACAAGGTATAAGGATTTGGCTTCTTCAGACACTGCAACCATACTGGAGCAATCATTACCGGAGCTATCACATTCAACNGTGAACGTTCGTACATGGCTGGAACAAGCAAAAATTACGGATAGTCGCCACCAAATTGAAAAGAAACTTGCAAAATTATCAAAC